ATGAATTTCTTTGCTCAAAAGCAGAGTACCATCCGAGATTTGACCTATGATGCCGCTTCTTTCCTCTGGTTTCAACTATTAAAATCGACACTTACTCTGAGCAGATACAATGATAAGGACAAAAAACTCATGCTCAACTACTGTCGTCATTATTATGCAAGAGATCGAGCGAGAGATAAACTTTATGCACAGATTGATACGTTCGACAGAGACTATGCTCCAGAACAGGCAATTATGTGGTACACAAAAAATGACTTTATCTACAAACTCGTTAACGCCGCTCTACGTACAGAAAATGTTGAAGCATTATATATTTTTCGCTTTTTTATTGCTGATCTTTGTCGACAACTCTTTGCTGAACACAAGATCATTCAAAAGCAATCTCAAGACCAGCCTATTATTACTCTTTATCGAGACTGTTGAATGCCTCGAGAAGAGATTGAAAAACTAAAAGAACATATTGGTGGAATGACCAGTTTAAATGGATTCATTTCGACTAGCTACGAACAATGTGTAGCTGAAGAATTCATGAACCAACAATCGAGACGAACCGATGTTCAGAAAGTACTCTTCGAGATTAAAGCAGATACTCGACTTGAGAAGGTCGTATTTGCTAGTGTTGGAAAGCTGAGTGAATATCCTGATGAAGAAGAAGTTCTCTTCAGCCTCGCTTCAGCTTTTATCATTGATGATGTAACACTTGACAATGCAACGCAAGTGTGGCACATCCAGATGACCGTAGCGGATGTTGGTGCCAAGGCAGTTGATGATTATATTAGTCTTATTCAGAAAGAGTATTCTAACATCAGCGTTACGATAATTTTCGGGCAGCTGTTAATCGACATGGGTAAATACCTTACTGCTCAAAAGTATTTTTTGGAGCTACTTCAACGAATTCAAGATCCAATGGATTCAGATCTTGGCAACATTCACTATAATCTGGGGTTGATCTACACTTTTCAGAAAGAGCTCAACGAAGCTGAGAAACATTTTTTGCAAGCTTATAAACATCAAAACTTAATTGACTCTCCAAAGCAAGATGTGGTGCGAACACAAAATGCTCTTGGCTGGGTCTATCGAGACAACGGGGAATTAGAAGAGGCTATGAAGCTTTACAAGAATGCTGAGAAGATTGGGAGACAGTTATTGGGTGCCAATCATTTGTCGAACGCTCAAATATATTCAAACATGGCCAGTTGTCATCTCGAACGCAGCCAGTTTGAAGATGCCCGGAGATGTTATAACAAAGCTCTGCACATTCTACAACTTCATCTTCCAAGAGATTATCCTCGAGTGGGTATCATTCTCAATGATTTAGGAAATGTTAGTCGAAAAGAAACAGATGCTGCTCGAGCTAAAGGAAGCCGATTGACTGCTTCGAAGCCAGACGATTGGAATAAAACAATGGATCTATATCGTCAAGCAGAACAAATTTTTTGCTCAAATTTACCTATTCATCATCCGTGCACGGCTTATTGTTGGAGTTGTATGGATTTGTTGTATTTACGAGAAAACAATATTGATCAAGCTCGATTTTACCATGCGAAAGCACTGAAATCCTATCGATTATCTTTACCCGCTGACCATATAAATATTGAAATAAGTGAGCAGAACTTAAAATGTTCCGATTACCAGCGTGTGAATGATTCTTATCTTCGAGGTTGCTCTTCATGATAATAAAAGAGCTTTTCAAAGGCACGCCTGTAAAAAAAAGCTTGTGAGTGCAACCCCGATCGGGTTAAAATGTGAAACTCACAACAGAATATTACATTCAAAAATAAGAAAGCTTTTAACGCAATTCCTAGGGAATTAAAATATGAAACATAATAGACTTATTCCGTATGAACGTGAAGATGCTTGTTATATTCAATTTGCTGCCTCACAAGATCGAGGAAGAATTATCTCTAAGAGTGTATAACAGTTTTTAATAGAACCGAATATATTGTATTACGAAAAATGAGTTTTTCAAATTTTGAGATTCTAGATCGATTAGAAATCCTAAATTCCAGGAGTTCAAGGTTCAAAAATACCTAAACTCTAAACGACATGATCCATAAAACCAAATATTCCCTAGGTTGAATGTCCAGGATCTGTAGAACGGTAATTAATTCATTTTGTCTGTGTGTCTGTCTGAAACGCGTTCTTAAAACCACAATATAATTCATGCTCAGGTATGATTTTCTTTTTGCCTTTTACTCTTGTTTGTAATAGGAAAATAAGTAGCACATACTTTCTTTTGATTCTCCTAAGAATATACTTTCAAACATTAAATTCGATTATCTTTCAGTCTAGGAATAAGTGAATCGGTATCTGATGAATGTTACTTGTTCTAAAGTACAAAATTTCAAAATTCAATGATTCGGAAAATCATTATATAGAATATCGACATATCTGTTACACTCCAGAAGGGATTCAACTTTCTTACTATATACTGCAGCACTTATATCCGATCTGATTTCATAAAAGGTTTCTAGTGACCTTCGGTATTTCATCTTTCGTGCTTCGTATTAAAAATCGTCGGCATCTGTAAGGAGATGGAAGCAGAAAATTTTCGAATAGACACTTACATTCACTATTCTTTTATAGTGAGTTCCAGAAAAGGTTGATTTTGAGCAGAACATTATGAAGAATAGACACGCGTATCTAGTGCAATTAGAGACCTCATAGAATTTTAATTAGTCTATTATTGAGCAGTTATCGTGATTTTAAAGTTATTTACTCAGTAGTAATTGTAGTGACCTGATAGCCTTTTTATGAATTTTCGAGGGGAACGAACTTGTTCACTTGGTTTCAGTTTTTTTCTCCTTTGAAATTTTGAGTCGGTTTTTTGAAAGACGTTTTTAAGCCTCAGGTATTACCTTGTCCAGAAAGCCCGTGGAATTCATATACTATGAAACCTTAGGATAACAATTGCTGCATTTAATCAATGTAATGATCTTCGCTAATAGCCACACGTAGCTCATTGGCAACGTGGGATTGTTAGCGAAGGTCATTAGACTGAATAAATACAGTACTTGTTAACCTAAGATTTCATAGTATATCAGTTGCACGAACTTTCCGGACAAGGTAATACTGTTCAAGAGGGAGAGGGAGAGAGAAAATTGTTGCAAAATCTATTTATATGCATAAAAATTAGAAAACTCGCCTCGAATTTATCAACTTTGAAATCCCTTCAACAGTCTTCATATATATATAGACGAGTTCAAAACAATGGACACAATCTTAGATGTATTTGTCACAAAACCCTTACATAGAATTCCTAAAGTTTTATGGACACAGCCCGAAGTCATGTTAATGCAAAATTTCGATGAGAGCACTGTTTCTGACGACAAATTCAAAATTTGAGTTACAGTTTATGAATTAAAAAATTCAAAGTACGATTCGAAAAATAGAATCGAATTCATAACTTCTACATTAGTAAGAATTTATTACACAGTCATAGTTTTTTCTCCTTGATTTCAATTAACTTGCATTTATCCAATGTTCGTTTTTACGATGGCAATCTATCCAATTCTTGTTTTCAAACAATGGAGATAATTTAGAAGATTTGTTCATATCTCTGCAATAGAATTCAACTTAGTATGCATAATATCAAATTGCAAGTTCCTCACCGTTTCAATGTGAATGTTCCTTTGCCAACAATTGACATTAACAGAAGTTCGTTGTTGCGACTAAGAACGAGACGATCCATTGTAGCTTGAATGCAGACTGATAAATTTTCAATGAAAATTTTCTCTAGACATTTTCCATTTTCAACTATATACATTAATAACAATGATTGTTTGTGACAGATTCCAAATAGATATTGTCCATCTTCTGTAAAGCAAAGTGTATCAAATGAGAACTTCATTCGAATTTTGCCACGCAATAACTTGTCCATATCATAAATGATTATTTCGTTTCTAGTTTTGTCGAGCAGAGCAAGACGATTATTTTTTATTTCGACAAGATCGGCACGGCCAAGAACAATTATTTTCATTTCTTTGTCACTAAACTTTAAGTACACTTGATAATCGTTGTCATAAAAGATAAGTCCTATGGGAAGAGCATATATTTTCTTGATTCGAATATTTCTATCAAATTTTAACGATTCATATGTAATTTGATTCTTATTCGAATTCCAAACAGCTAATGACGAGTGATCATTGGACAAAATTAAGAATGTAGATTGTTCAGGTGCTACGATGCTCAATTCAACGTCAAAGTTCATATGGAATTTTACAATACTTTGTAATTCTAGCGGATATCTGGTGTCAATTTGAAAAAGTTGTTGTATTTGTCCATCAATGATAAAAAAAGATGATCCTAGTACATGGACATTGACAAATCCATGTTGAAATACACTTGTTTGAAAAAGAAGTTCTGGTGTGGAACAAATCGAGTATATAGAAAGATTATTCTCTATGTTAAGAAGAAGAATATACGATGATATAATGGCAACTTTAGTAATTATTTTGGATATATGTAATCGCATGACAAAAGCCAGACAATCAGCAAATGTGAATAGATTTAAAATGCTGTAACATAAGACAAATATTTAATGAGAAATCTTAAAAATTTCAAAAAAAGAAAATAATCCTCTGAGTATTATGATCAGGATGTTTTTCTCTCCCTTTCAATCTTCAATACTGCTTCTTTTCTTCAAGATACATTTGAAAATTTTCTACAAATTCAAATACTCTTTCATATAAATGTTTTGTTAGTTTTCAAAGATTTATGGAATACGAGTAATAGATTTTCATGCAGTGAACAGAATGACAACTGCGATCAACAGAAACTACTAGATTGATCATTCACACTAAAGATTGTTTATCTAAATTGTTATGTAATGAATATTCGTATATGCTCAATATGTTGTTTTTCTAGAGAATTATACGGAACATTTTTTTTCTTCAAAAAGAAGCAACATTAAAGATCAACAGAAAACAAAGCAAAAGTCAATATCGTGAAAAGCACATTGATTATATTATACTCATCAATTGAAGAATCATCACTACAACTCACCATTTTCTCGTATCAAGAGTCACAACAAATTTATCGTGAATTTGCAAAGAATCTATTGGTTCTTTAAGTAATGAATTTTCTGATTGATTAATTCGTTCGTAAGGTAGATAAGTCATTATTGTAACATTGTATTGACGAAGTTCACCATTTTCCAATACACAGTAGATAGTGATACCAGTTTCCTCATCTATAAAAATAGACTCGAAATATTCCAAAAGTCATTGCCATAATACTAGTCTAAAGAACTCATATTTTATTCAATAATAGAAAGTATTTCAATTTTTTAGTCGTATGAAAGAGGTTCATATAGATACAGTTAAAATATATGATTTCTGATTCAAATATAGAAATTCGATTTTCAATACAATTATTTTTCAAATGATTTCATTAGTTATGCTTCGTAGAATATTCTTGGTCAATAAAACTTATTATCATATATGACTAATGTTGAAACTGTTGAACTTTTTTCTCTAAAGATACCTTAAAAACTATGCATTAAATGTGACATTTCATTTAATATAGAAAAATAACATGAATTTTTGTATCGAGTCAATATTAATATTTTTCAACATTATTTATAAATCATTTTTTCATAAAACACAAAAGTTCGAATTTTCTTTTGTTTTTGAACAAAATAAAGTAACTCTTTAGATTATCACGACAAGGATCTAAACGAATTTAATTTATACTACCGAATATTGTAATACTCTATACTTCTCTACGCATCTTTATCAAAAATACACTCACCAATGTGGCATGAATAATGAGAAACTTTGTAGTCGAGTTTTAGACGAGCCATTAGACGATAAAAATGTTTACTATCATTACATTTCCATTCGAAAATGTTAATGATGAACATACTTTGATCGAGACAACAAACAAAATCAGTACAATCGTTAAGTATTGTTAAATTGAATGCCGCACATATCGATTGATATTTACCAGGGATGATAAAGTATGCACCACATGAATGAAAGATGGCAACAGATTCATCACTGAGCCATATGAGTGCACTTTGAAATTTTTTGAAGAAGAATTGTCGATGAAATCCAAAATGACTGATAATTGGTAAATGTTCGATCTTTTCGAGACGATCGTTTTCAGAACGATTGAAATGAAAGAAAATCATGTGTGATTCGCCTTCAGAGTAATAAGCATCAGTTTCACCATTAAAAAATATGCTTTTGTTTCCCAATTTTTCTTTCAACATAGTAATAGGTGTAAAGTACACTTCGTTGGCAATATGATCATCAACATATTTTGCTTTTGCAACTATATAATGGACTATATTTGTCTCAAGTGTAATTTTAATCATGATACCTTGATCAGTTTTGAATGTAGAACATTGTAAGATAGGCTCTTCGACTCCATACTGACCAATCAATATCGGTTTTAAACAACTCCAAATATCAACGGATTTACTACCTTTCGAGCAAACAAGTAGAGCATTGCTAAAGACAAAATCCACATACATCAAATTATCAATATTCAATTGTAGCATAAACTTCTGATAATGCAGACACTCAAAGATCATGAGCGATCGTGTTGAATAAATACATACGTATTCTGGATGAGTTTTAAGTGATGTGAAATCGTTTGATGGTAAGTCATATTCTTCAAATTTACCAGACCAATTACCAGCACTTGTACGAATAATAATAAATTTTCCTTGCAGAAGTATAAATAAACAGAATATGCTTTGATTTATGGTATGAACAAAGCCAATTACATGTTTCATCAAACACCAATCCGAAGATTGCATTTCATTTTTAATCATACGTAACGCACAATTACATTGACATTGACAAAGTAGATTATAGATCAATTCTGGTAATACATCAGAAAAATGAACTAATCGAGAGGAAATCTCGAAAGCAAAATTATTCGGATATTTTTCAAGAATGACAGAAACTATTTGATATTGAATAAGAAGAAATCGAAGTTGAACAAACGAACTTTTAGGTGATAATCGATCACTCATTTTGTAACACTGAAGATAACTCGACATGAATTCATAATCGTAGAAAAAACAAGGCTCATCCAAATAGTTGTCGATATTTCTACATAATTGATTGATTCGTCGAATATTGAATTTTCGACCTTGTCTTTTGTTATTCGTTATATAGGGCAACTGTTGTGTAAGACGTCGATTGACAAGCATCGAAGAAATTCCATGGTTTCTTTCTATTAACTTTCGAGATTTAATCTCAAATGGGTAAGTATGTAAATTTGGGAAACCTAGAACACTGCCGGCAAAGTAAGCACGTCGAATGAGTTCAATTTTCTTGGTTTCTTCATCATTTAATATTTGATATTCACGGAAACTGCGATGATAACTAGATGAAAAAATGCGTTTAATCAAATCTTAATCATTCGTGACACTCTTAAGGAAATTAGCATTTTCAATTTTCTAAATTTTCCTTATCCGATCTAATCTTAGTTGGTCTAAAATTAATTTTAGTCTACTTTATTTAATTCAAGATTCTTTTTTAAACACTTCAAATTTTGCAGGTTTTTTTTTCAATATTTACAGCAGTGTTCTATAACGGATATTTCGAAAAACATTACATTTATTTCAAGGTTGCTGTAATCGATTATATCAAAAATCCAGAAGTAATTATATTCATATTGAAACAAAGAATCTGAAAATCAATATCGGTATGAAAAATATATTAACTGGGTTAGTAACATGTGATTCAAAAGTCTTTCGACAAATATCAACCTATGTCAGATCATATTGCTAATTTCTGAGTCAATCAATTTTTTTTGTTAGAAAGAACGAAGTTTGACCTAGAAATTTTTCACCAGACTTTTTTTTCGGAACGAATTTACGAAGTAGGAGAAGTCGAAAACCAAACATCTCTAAAAAAATAAGTTCAATTTAGTATTGATGTTTCTAGAAAAATACAGCTGTTTCTAGATGGCACTGTATAATTTGGTCTTTATTACTATCTGACCTTTTTTTGCAACAATAAAACAATTTTCTTTGGAATCCTCTTTTTCTGCTAAGCGTCCCAGATCTGACGTAATTCGAACAAGTAATATATAAAGAATTTAGTCCATAGATAATTTCTGTAAACTGTGGTCGATCTCCTTCGAAATTGATAGTTCTGGCAAAAGACTCTATTTTAGAAAGATTTCAATTTCCCACTTTTTTTTAAATAAAGAGTCAAGAATGGATCTTTAAAAAATTATCAAAGTTGATACCCACTAAATATGATGTACTCACAAATAGATTATGGATGTATTATCGACATCTTTTTCTACAAGATATTTTTGTATATCATTGCGGATACGAATCCATAGTGTACTCGGTATTCGAAAAATGTCAACTGGCGGAAGATAGTGAACAAATATAGCTTGAAGAACTTCATTGTCAGCACTCAACATATCTTCTAGTTCGATCTCAGAGAGACCACCTCCTTGTTGAAGATAAGCCATCGCTCGTTTGAAGAACACTTCGTTGTGCTTCTTCGATAACTGAGAATATAAATAGTCTATGGCATCATTGCTTGTTTTTATGTTCAAAAAATTTTCGTCAGAATTTTCATCGTATGAATGCCATGTAAGCGTCATATCATATATCAAGGATAGAAACAATGGCGTAGGTTCTAATTCAGTAGTAAACAATCCAGTGTAAACAGTACGAGATTGAAGTTTTGGCTGTAACCAACTCATTTGAAGTGAAGTAAGACATCGGCGATCACGTTTTAACCATGATTGAAATACATTCTCAGCTAAATCTTCATCGAATACAGTTATCTCAATCATTGGAACATCGGCGAGAAGTGATTTTAATCCATCAAGAATTTCATACTTTTCTGGAGGATCTTTTCTTTCATCAGAAATCATCGGTATAGTAGATAAGATGCACTTGATATTTTGTGGATAGCTGATTGGTAACCATTTTGAGCAATCGTAGTTTTCAATTTGTAGTTGATCGATAGAATCAAAGAGAAGAACAAGTGTTTCATCTGTCGGAATTCGAGTCAAAATTTGTTCAAATGTTTTCTTTAATTCCTCAATTTTTGTTGATTCACTGATAGAAGAAGGTTCAATATCATAGATAGCACAGATTTGTTTCATCATCGAGATTAGTGGTTGACGAATATCACTTGATAACGGTGTTGTACCAAGAAAACGTAATATGATGGAGACAGAATTTGATTTCGGAAACCACGTTGAAGCCTTATAAGTAAAGTAAATGTAAGATCTTATTAATGTAATACTGAAATCACCTTGATTGCTACTTCAGCCATAATAGAAGATTTTCCGGTGCCCGATTCACCATATATTATGCATGGACGGGATTCATTCGACAGTAAAAAAGTTTTGATCTACAAAATGTGACAATTAGATCTATACTCTATGCATTATTAATGTTCACCTGTGTAAGTATGTTATCACGTGGAAAATATCGTTCATTAAGCATTCTGCATTGAATTGCATGTTCCACAACTTCGTCATACAAACTATCTTTTGTTCGAGTTTGTTTCATATGATAATCAATTTGATTTTTTATAGCATTGTAGAAATCGTCTTTAAAATCAGCTAGGTATTTCATTCTACTTGATTCATCTGTCCATTTAATCTGAAAAGTAATGTAATCTATCTCAGTAGTTCGAAAACTTCACTGAACAAACCCGATATGTGAATATATTATTCGGACCAAGTTCAGTTTCGATAAAAGTTTTCAAGTCTGTTAATACTAATTCACCATGTTCATCATTTGTATCACTAAATTTCACTTTGAGTTTCGAGTCAAAATGATCTATATCTTCTATTTCACGAAAGAAAGCAACTATACGTTGCGGTTGATTTTTATTGTTGTTCAATGCTTGATAAATTTCTTTTGCTGTTACTAAACATTTTGATATGCATATTGGACGAAGAACTCTGATTGACTTACCTGATATGTGAAATTCATTTCTCTCATATTCACTTAAAGTCTCGTTTTCTAAATAGCAAATATCAGAGGCTTGCCGCAAAATCTTTTGGAGTTTATTATTTGTCGCATTCCATTCATTTTTTCTTTTTGGATCGATGGGCAGAAGAACATAGACAGGATCGAGTAAATTTTCGTCCAATCGATATACTTGATTTACAAAAAGACTTTCGTCTGAAGACATAACGCTTTCAAGTGTTTGAAAAACATTTTTTGCAATTCGTGCGGGTAACATACAACTTCCATATCGATGACTCAACAAAATCTAAAAGGAATCAAACCATTTTTTGAATCTTGCTCGTTAATCAATTTGAAAGAACTCACAGCACAATTGGTCGCTAGTGAGCGACGATAACATTGTTGCAACTCTTGCAAACATGTGTCTACAGTTGAATGATCATTCGACGCTTCATCTTGAACACCCCAACGCATGTCGGAATACTGAAAATATTCATGTTAATAACCAGTACAAGTAGTAACAATATACTACACCTGAAACTGAATGTTATACATCTTTTGACAATATTCTCGAAGTTTTGGAAAAACTGATAAAATGAGTGCATCGCGTTCTTCGACTGTATCTTCAAGTATAAACGAATATGATTTAGTCATCAATTGATTAAAAGAGAATTTACCTGTAAAAGTAGAACTGATGAAGACTCGCACTGAATTTGATTTATTATCGGGAACATTGGTAACACGACCTCGAAACAATTGATTATTCATTGTCATCTGTTTTGATTCACTTAAATTATGTGAAATAGTCCAGTCATCATTTGACATGTCTATTATCTTGTTGAAAAAATTTGCTTAAGATCAGTTCTCTTATTATCTGAAACAAAGACAATTCAGTCAATGATAATTATTACTCAACATGTATACAAAAAATAATATCTATTGAATTTGAGAATGAGAATAATCGCATGGTTATCAATCAATGAACATGAACTATAGTTGTATCAATAAATAAAAGAGATCAGTGATTAATTCTCTGATCGCTCTATACATAGAAGCAACAATTACAGACGTACGGTTTTTAGTATAGCAGAGAAAAGATCTTGACAATTGATTCAATGCAAATCATGTAAGTCGAGAACAAATCAGACAGAATGATAAATTTTTGATTATGCTTGCTTTCGTTTTCTATTTGATCGAAACCGAAGCAATACTCTCAGAATCTATTCAGCTGAAATTTTTTAATAATCATTCCCAATTAATCTATCTACAATATTCATTTATCAATCTATAGGTTAGGTGAGTTATCCAATGAGGAAATCCTCCCAAGTATTGATTTACTTTCGAATTGAGACTATGTGCATCATAGAAATTCTTATGAGCTCTCAAAATCCTGAAAAACGTTAGTGCTCATGGTTTATTTTTGTTGAAATATTTTCTTTTCATCGTAGTTTTTAGCATAACCTTCTGGTTTCTCTCAGAATGACTTAAGAAATCGGCTTTTGAATTTAGACATGTCATTTTCTTCCACAGAGAAATATCTTATTGAACTAATTAGTTTATTTGGATGATTTTAAGTTGTTGAGTTCCTTCTTTTCTAAAACAAATATTTTCAGCGCAATTTCTGCGGAATTAAAATGTGAAACACGATGTAGCTGTTGTTGCTAATTACATGGAGATTGTTTTGTTCGATCCTTTTTTGAAATACATTTGTTCACAGCCCTTTACTTAATCATCCTCTAGAACTACAATACGAAAGTAGTTCATATCTTCTAATGAGATGTTGTTGATATACGGTTCTTAATCGTATATCAACAACGTCTGTCACGCCTGTTGGATGGAGGAGAGGATCCAAATTTCTACTTATATACTTCAACACTCCTTTTAGATCGTGTTTCAGAATATGAAGATTAAATATTTTGTACTGTAGTTTCGGTTAAAAATGATTTTTTTCCTTACACTCCCTCGGACAAAAAAAAATCTATCTTTTTCCAATCCATTTTTTCATCACCGAATATGCTGTATTAAAAAACAAAATACACCAGAAGATATAGCGTGAAAAGTTCTACAATTTACAAAGA